TGTATTTAAAAAAAGAACTAACAAAACCTGAAACAGTGCTTAAACATTAGTCGCTTGTCTACGTTTCCACATGTCTGAACAATAGTGAGGAATGTATTAAGTTGAGTCGCATGTAAAGTAAACTACACAAAGTAGCGCTATGCAATGTAAACATGAGTCACTTGTCAGGCTTACTCAGCGTGTGAATTTCTACGTCAAGATTTTGACTTCGACTTACGGACTAACAATTAATTGAAAACAGATCAATTTGGCATGTAAAATATGTTCGACTTGCATTTTTATTAGACTTAAATTTAATCGAGTTTGAGCATATGTAAACTATTGTAAGTATAGGGAAGATGAAGTGACATGAAAATAATTTCGACTTTGACAATTTTTCGACTTATGGACATTTGACTTAGGCGAGTTTGACTGTAGTTACAAATTAGGTATGAGGCAATAATTGTGAATGCAAGGGTGGACTATAAAGTGTAGTCAAATCGGATGTTGATCTGAGGGTACGAGCACATGTTGAGGAGTGAGACTTAATAAGTTGAGAAATGTTTTTAGGAGATAGCTGATGAATGGATTTGTAAACAAACAATACAATTTTGAAATCAATACGCTTCTTCACGGGCAACCAATGAAGATGACGGAGTACTAGTGTGTATTAGATGCTTTATCAAGCCAAAATATCACACTGACATATATTGGGTCTGTGGGGATATAAACAAGGCAATTGTCTTGGCATAAATAAATGATACATCCCATTTTTCTGTTTTTCGTACATTATATACAGTAATATGTTCCTACACTATTTGGAAAGACAAGCTCATTGTGGCAACAAATACTGTGCATTTACCATAGATAAAGATTTTTGCAGTGCTCAAATGCGCCTCTTGAAAGAAACAGAATTCCTACAAGTTTATTCAGGCCAGAGAAATTGATTTGGCCTCTTGAAACAAGACACTGTAAACTTACACGTGTACTGTGGACAGATTTATACCGGCAAAGTGTAATATCAGTATACCTTTTTATTTTGACCACCAAGTTTCAGTCAATCAGAATTCTTCTAGTTTTTGTATCAAGGTACAAAGTACAATTTTTTAATGTATAGGATTAAATGCGAATAACATCATCAAAAATAATAAATATACCATGTAGATTTGCAAAAATATTTGTGATAATAGCCTAAATCACAGGTGGGCAGAGTGCAGCCCGACAGCAATTTTTTTGCAGTCTGCAAAAATGAATTAAAAACCCCATGTGTGCGGCCAGCCAAGCAACATTGGCTAGAAAACACTTGTTTTTTACGGCCCGACAACAATCATATGTAAAAAGTAATATTAAAACTAAGAATAAAGTGGTGTAAAAGCAGTGCTTGGATGTTTTTGGAAGGACACTGGAAACATCATAGTTTGGGTGTGGTCCTCTGTGTTTACATCGAAAATTCACTTTAGCCCTCCCACTGATTTTTATGTATACCCCTGGCCTAAGTGGTCATTATTTAAGACACAGGCTGGGCGAAGTGTGACCCGTAGGCCACATGCAGCCCTGCAGGCGATATTTTTGTGGCCTGTTAAAAGTTAAAGGAAAATCTATCAATGACTAAGTCAGTCATCCAGGTGTGTAAAGTACTGCCTATGCCAGAGTGCATGATAAACACAAAAAAATTATTTTAACCCCTTTTTTAATGAGTGCCAGACAGCCTGCCCACGTTGCAACTGCAATTTTGCTTTTAAGAAAATCGGTTTTAGTATAGGAAATTACGTCACCATTTTGTATACTGTATACTGTACAGCACATTTTTCCAACGTATACTGTAGTTTCTTTCTCACCAACAATATACTTCACATGAATTCTGGTCATGATGACGAGTAGTAGGATGCGGTGTGCGGCAAGAATGCGAATGCTTTCGGCTGTACTCATCGGCACAGTGAACGAATGAGGACAACGGTAGGCCCAGAATAGCGGAGAGGGCTAGGCATTAATATACCCCCTTACAAAATAATTAAAAAACAATTTTGTTGCTCCACATTTGTTGAACAAGACATGAACAAGAGGACTAATCATTTTGAAAGTTAGCTTGTGATATGATCCAGCTTTGCAGTGGTTTGACTTGGAGGTCACATTTCACCTGATGATTGCTTTTTGTGTTGTAGCTAAATATTGCACAGCCAAAATCAGTTGTTTGTCGTTCAAACACGCTATCCATTGCATGTTTTTAATCACTTGTTTTTATTCCCTTTTTTCGAACTGGTCCTGTTTGTACTGCAAGAAAAAAGCGATTAAAAAAAAACGATTTTTAATCAATTTTTTCTTTCCAGTAGAAACAGGCCTTTAGATTTTTCAAAGCATCATAAATTATAACTTTTTGGCATTCAATTTAGCAATCTTCGAGTTCTCTGAAGTTGTGTGAAGGAATCTTTAAACCCTTACCAAATCCCATTGCTCACATAATCTTTTTTATTTGAGTAATGTCAGTAAATGGGGTAAGTACTGTATTGCACCAGATAATGTTGAGTAAATCTGGTGCAAGTTGTCAACACTTAGTTTGCTGCCAAGGTAGACAATGCACGAAAACAAAATGGTAAAATTGCTACACAGACCTGCCAATGCTTGCTTCTCAGGCATGAAATAGAAGGCTGATGCCTTCTAGGGGTTGTAACCATATCAAAATAATTATGGTGACAAATTATTTGCATCTCCACCACATGACAACCGAACCTTACAGCCAATAGCAATATTCCTCATTTTGGCTGCTGGAGTGATCCAATAAATAATGGCTCTTTGAGTGTTTTTATAATAAAATGAAATTCCAAAACTTTTTTCCAAACAAAAAAGACTGTCACAAATAGATTTTGAAAAAAAAAAAAACTTCTTAGGATGGGGAGGATATATTACTTTAAAAAATCTTCTAGGGTACAGTAAGAGTATATTAATTTAACATACTGTACAAAAAATTGAAACAAGTGCATCTGCCAGTAATATTATGGGCCTATCTTTAATCCATCACTAAAATGTATTTTCTTTTTATGGAATGATATCCAAAATGACATTATCCAGAAAATGAAGAAGAAAAAGGTTTTAAAGTATTGGTCCACAGTGCCCTCCCTGGTGGGGCCGAGTATACTTTACAGTGTAAATATTGTGGTTCAATAAATTATTATTATTATTATTGTGGTTGTTAAGATATTTGCCTTTTTTTAGTCTAAGGGGCATGGGTTCAAAATCCCCTATAATGAGGCTTATAAAAATATCAACTGATCATCATTTATCCTACTAATTACTACTTTTTATCTCAATTTTTTAAAATTCTATTAGTCTTAAAAAATCAGTTTTTGAACAGTTTTATTTAGTTTTTTTAGTTTTATACAGTATATAGCTTCTAGTTTTGTATATCTTAATATGTATTTTTAATTTAAGAATAATACACTTTATTGTCTGTATCTTTATCAAATTATTCTCTTTTTTCCTTCATTGCAGAATGGGTGGATCCAATGGAACAATGAGGATTATATACTAAAGTTTTCAGAATCTCGGAAACTTAATCATTCACAAAGCAATTCAACTAATGATTTACGGCATGTCATTTATAAAACTAATCAACTTGGTAAGTACATTGATTCAAAGCATTCATAACATGTTTTTCTCATCCAGTAATAAGGAACATTCAAATGTAGACAATATATTGGGCATACAATTTAGAATGATTCTCACACATTGTTAGGTTCAGAATTCTGGAAAGCATATTTCATCTATAAAATAAGTACAGACAAGGTCTCCCTCAACCCCAATTCAGATTATTAAGGGATGGGATCAATAATATAACATTTTTTACAATAGTGAATTATAAAAGGTATTTAAGATTTACTCTTATTGTCATTATTGTTATTTACATTAAAAGTCTTTTATAGCACATATAGCACCAACAGTCTCTTGGCACTTTTAATTATTGCAACTTGTAATGGATAAATAAACAGTCCTGCGCCATGTGCAATCTTCGCTGCTTCCTGGAAGCGTTCCTATTCACCTACCTGATTGAGCCCCACAGGCCAATTCTATTTAACAATCCTTCATACACTACCAAGTGAACCAATTTTTATTCCGAGTACGCAAGTAAAATTAACATCATAGGACTCCAACTACAACCTTCCTTTGTTTTTTTATGAATGTGAAAGTGAACAATACTGTAGGTTCGATGTCTTACAAGCCAATCACTGGTTCACTGCAGCTCAAAATAAATATACTTCAACTTTGATGGTTGAGAAGAAAGATGTGAACCCGCCCCTTGAAGGATTGTAGACTTGAGATGATAATAATGTCTCCCACAATTTCATGAAGCAGCCAGTTCCAAGTCCATGTTGCAATCAATGTTCGAAAACCCTTTTTCTAAAGAATGGGTATGAAATCTTGGAATGGTTACAGCATGTCTAGGCAAGAAGGTATTCAAGCGGGTGGTGCGTCTGCGTTCATGGGGAGGTAGAAGAAGACTTTAGAAGTCAGTTGGACATTTCAGTGTTCAATGACAGATCAAACTGCAATAGCCATAGCGAAATCCATTTAAATAATAAACATTCTACATATTGTGACTATGGTAATCGTTAATGTATGTCACTCTAATTTTGAGATGCAATCTAGTATTAAAGTAGTAGGGAATACATTTTTAATGTTTCCTTTTATTTTATATGAATCTTTTTTAAACATATGTTTTTAATATGAAACAATGATTAATCATTCATTCTTATACAAACTATTATTCTGTTTTCTCTTTGTAGATTCAAAGGTCAACCTTGCATTAGACAGCCTGTATTCAAAAAAACATATGAAAATGTTTGAGCGGTTTCGATGGAAGAGATCAGCACACTTTCAAAGGATGTATTTTGTAGAAACTCTTGTAGCAGTAGACAGTAGCATGTCTGCTTTCCATAAAGGAATTGACATAGAATCTTATGTTATACAACTTATAAATATGGTAAGATATGAAAACAAATACTTTCTATATTTGGGGACTGTACTAGCAATAAAGCTCTAAATGCAAATACGGTTCTCTTCTTTTATTCCACCAAGCTAGAACAAAAACAAACTGGTCAAGTTTACAACTCAAGAAACTTTCACAAATATGGCAGAAACTAGATAATGGACATTACAGGGACATACTACTAAACTGTTTATTCAGTTTAATTGATAACATGCCAGATTAGGAAGAAAATGCATCCTTGTTCCTGACAAAAAACAGTTACTGTATGTTGTAAAATAATAATGATAATAATATTATAAACTCACATGGAATGCATGTCTTTGTCTTTGTAAAATAGAGTAGGCCTGAAGTAAAGTAGAGTGGGAAAATGAGCCAGTAGTAGAAATGGACTATTCTGACTATATGCCAACTGAGTTAAACCTCCCTAATTGGCAATGATTGTTTCCTAGTGCAGTAGGTTTACTGTACTTTTTCCCTCAAAGGGCCTTAGAGAATATCATCTTATCTACTCTGAAGGTTGCTGTAAAGTATTTGGATGTCTGCACCAGCCTGTATTTTTTTCAGTTTCTATATCTTGTTTACATTGAAGACTAATACTCCATATGAAATGCTATCTCACAGTCTAGACTGGAAACACTCTTAATTGTATAATATTTTAGTCCTTACAGTCATTCTACACTACTGTCTGCTGCTGTAGTAACTTTGTATATTATTGTTTATTGCTGTTATCACTTATTCTGACCTAAGCTTGGTTTCTGTTTATTGTACTATAGCTCTAAAATAATGAGGACAATACTATTTAAAAAGATCTGCACTCATAACCAGGGGGGGAGATTCTATGGCTTGGCTATACCAACCATCTTTTCGAAAAAACACCTCTGATATAAAAACTATTTATATCAGACGACATTGAATTACAATGTTTACATGTAGAACACATGTCCTGGGTACTGCACTCCTAACCCCATAAAAAAGTCCCCTGGACACCTACTGTAGGCACATGTAGTTAACCCTCTGTTTAAAGAAATCCTGATTGTACTGTAGGCCTGTCAATGTCATCATAATAATCTGTTGATTTTTTTTCCCAAATTTTATTTTAGGTCAATCAATTATTCAACCATCCAAGTCTTGATAGTAAACTTACTTTGGTAGTTATCAAAATAATATATTTGAATGAAAGACAGGTAAGATTTAAATCCTTAAAATGTATCATATTTTGTTGTATTTGGAAATGAGTAATGCTTCTGCAATTAAATGCACAAACTATACAAATGTCAGTGAATACTGTACGACTAATATGATTTGACATTCAATGATTTGTCTGGAATTATCAAAATAGAAAACATTGTGACAGTTTTCATTGATAATGGATGTTTATAAATAATAATTGACATATCATTACAACTGTGGCAATACCGTTAATATCCAATCCAAATATTCACAGGAAAGAATATTAATATACAATCTCTCAGACTAATTTTTTGATTGACATATTGTATAATTCAGAGAGAAATATTGCAAAGTTTGAGTGGCCACAAACTGTAGTGTTAAATTGTAAATTAAATGAGCTAGAAATTCAAACTTTTAACTGAACAAACAATTTGTAGATAGGGACAAGCTAGGGGAGGAGGACTTTAAAACTCCCCTGTGGTCTTCTAGGTCCTTACCTTATCAAATTAGAATATACTAAAATTGAGCATAAATACAGCAAAATATATAGATAGTGAAGAAAGATGTAAGCATTAAAGAACATTTTCAATATCTGTATTTCGGTGCATATCTATAACATACTGTACATCACTAGTCTATACAATTTATATAAATTTATATATTTATATGAAACACATATTGTTAGAACAGTAGATAACCATTGACAATTTAAAATGATAAATTTATAATTGTTTTTTATAGAAAGTTGTTCACACCAGATCTATTTACTATTGTACATTTCTATTAAATTAACATCATAGTATTGTTCATCTTCTCTTTGCTTAGTCCAGAAACTACCGTGAGAAATATAAAGTAGACTTGCGCAAACGTCTTAAAATCCCCTGTAAATGGATTTGGATGCGTACAAACCACAATGATGATAGCGTTGGCAACCATGATTTTGCTTTGTTCCTCTTCAGAAACCTATCTCCCCCTGCAGGTATTCTTGCAATGAAACTTTATATATTTCTTGCCTGTTGCATCAAGAAAATGCTGATCATACCAAGTGTTGTTGGTATTCACACCTTTACTACTGGTTGACTGGCTAAATAACATTAAATTTCCTTCTTGCTTTAACAATATTACTTGTTGGTTGTTTGTATTTGTTAATGTTCTTATGGGATGTTGTTTATTAACCTGCTGTGTTTGCTCTGAAAATTCAAGAATTACCAATTACTGATAGCATGCTGGATTTTAAAATGTGAGCTGCTAAGAATAACTCTCTCACACTTAATAAAAGTCACAAAACTTCCCCTCCTCTTACGAATTCTGTTGATTAATTACTCTTTCCCTCTCTACCCTTACAGTATTTGAGAATGGACCACCCCTGCCGTCCCCCTCCTCATTTTGTCTTGTCAAAATTACCATCATAAAGTTTAAATACTTTCTAAAATGTTTTTTCCAATATGTTTCAAATCTTTGTTACCTGTGAAAATTCTACTGTATGTATTATAGTCCACGACTCCTCTCAGTTATTGCTGTTTATACTGTCTTGTCTGCTTCCTAGTTTTTCCAATTTATTAAAATATTTAGCATAACATTCCCTGGTGATATAAAAATATGATATTTTGAACTCTAGATAGCTAAACTGTACTTTAGGATATTGGTGTTCATAGGCCTTCATATATAATTTGATGAAATGAATTAAGAAAAATGCTGTATAAATTGCTAAAAATAACAGTAGGCCTAGCCAAATATTGCCATACATAAAGTCAAAAAACAAACATAGCTTAACTTTCTCTATATCGCTTAACTCATTGAGCTCTAATGGGCCTGCGGTGGGGATTAGTATTGTACATGGATCTGAAACATAGTAGGAACCATTTGGCAACTCTGTCAACAGCTACTTGAACTCCTAACCGCAAGGTGTATTTTACAGTTTGATTGTGGTGTTGTATGGTATTAGTAGAAACTTTAAAACTAACATGTAAGTGGATGTGTCAGTATAGTTGCAATTCTTCTCGCCATTCAAAAATAAAATGTGTCATTAATTTTATGTGTGTGGAGAAATAGTTGCTCATTTAAATAATAGGAAGGCAACAATTATTTAAACATCTCTTTATTGGTGAAAAAATATGTTCACATTCAAATTTTAATTGGAAGCTATTAAATAACATATTACAGTATATAAACATACAAAGAAAGCAATTTAAATATAAAATTTTTGTTGTTCAGGGATATTTTTTATACAAACCGATTCTAGATATTTTTGTCTCAAGTTTAAATTAAAGATGCTTTAGTATTAATCTTTAGTCAGTATGAAAGTTCATTCTGAGCTTATGATAGTTATCATTTCTAGAAATATATTATAAATTTCTAATTCCCTTTCGAAAAAGAAAAAAATCCTTCTAATTACTGAAATATAATGACCTGCATTGGTGAAGTCTAATCCTTAATTCTCGAGAAAGCTAATCCAGAATTTAGAATCACAGAACAACAATTCTTAAAACTAGTGTAATTGGATAAACTGAGAGGAAATGATGTTTAATATTTAGTTTACAGCTGGTTAAGTGAGCAGGCCTTAATAAAAGCTGTCTCTTATACACATCTAGATGTGTATAAGAGACAGTATATATATAGTTTATAAGATGTTGAAGTAATTTTTTTTATAAATAATGCATTCAAGACTGTGAGAGCTTATATCCAGGTGAGATACAGAGATGTACAGTGGTAGAATGATGATTTAACCTCTGTTCAGACTATGAAATTTGATTTGAAAAAAACATATGACATGCCTAAATATGTTCATGGTGACATCACATCATGACCATATATAGGCACATCATGACTATATATGGGCATACAACAGTTTTTTGTCAAAGAAAATTTGGTAATCTGGACAGGGCTTTAGAAGCCAGTATGTGTCCAAACAGTACAACATAAATTTTAGAGTGATTTAAACAAACTGGTAGGCTTGATTGGGCGATTCTTCGATTCGATTCTTTCCAGGATTTAATAATTTAAAGGGCAAAGTTTTGAACATGTTCAAATCTTTTAAATGATTTTGTAAAACAACATGGGTCAAATATTTGGCATGCATGTCATGATTGATTAAGTTAAAAGCTAGGCACTTTATCTGTTATATTTATAAGTCTTTCTCTACCTATATGGTAAAGTATGATTAGGTTGCTAGTAAGTTGAACATCACTACTGATAATTAGCTGCAATATTATGGAATTTTCTCCTAGAGGACCTTAGTATGTGTTTTGTAGTTGTAATATGTGAAGACAAAGAGACCTTTTTGGCATAATTACAACATTCGCATAATAAATTACAACATTCTACCCATTAGCTAACATGCTACTGTAGGAAATTCCCATCTTTTTGCTATGAATAGATTAAAATTTGAATATAATTGGACTTTTCTTTATCTATGGTTTGTACTTTTGTTCTCTGTAGTCAACTGAAATTGAAACTAGTGGGTCTCGTGATTCCAGTCTCCAGAGTGTTGTACTATTAGCTCAAAACGTGTCCAAATCCAGTTCACGTATTCCTGATTTCACAGCCTTCCTAATTCGAAAGACATTGCTAGTTGCAGGTAGGCACATAGCATTACATCTTGCATGACGTTTTAGTGCTTATTCATACTAGACCTTCACGCATAGTTTACTGTAACTACATGGTTATGTTGTGGTTTAGTGGTGGAGAGGCTTCCTTCTAAATCCGTGGTCCTGGGTAAATTCCTGGCAGAGTTAAAAGATTTTCTGACAAACAAAAACATTGCTTAATAACACATGTCTTATAATAGATTTGGTTATAAAGCATAAAGGTCCTCTAGTTAGTTCACCATTCATCAAACAAAAAATTTGAATTAATGAATTCACTTTTATAGCACATGTTTCAAGCTTTTTGTATTTTACATAACAAAAATTAGATAATAAACGTAAAAGAGTGAATACAGCCTCAACTAGGTATATAATATTATTTTTTGAATGAATTATAATAATAATAATTACAAGAACACAACCTCAAATAAGTATATAATATTAATTTTATTTAATATATTATTCATAACATCAGATCTGTCAAAATATTTTCAATGATGAAAGATGCTCTTGCTCTGTGGATATTTATATTCCATTGTGTATTGTCAAAAAGTGGATTATTCCTTCATTTATAAATCCATGCTATCCTATTTTCAGACAGTTTTTTAAGTTGATTTAGATGTAATTTCGTTTTTATTGCTTCTAGTCGGCCATTTGGCAATATGCCACAACATGAATTAATAGCTTGCTTTCCTCTGACCACTACTGTATCTTTTGACCTGTAGTTAACTTTAGTTTCAGTCAGTAGTATATATCTGAAAGTAAAATGTATGCTTAAGTAAAGAGGTCGTGCTCTAGCAAATATTTGGGCTCCTTGTGTGCGTCTGGAGTAGGATAAGATTGGGATGGAGAAGCTAAGTTCATGCTTAGGTACAAGGTAACATTTAATGAATTCACTTTTATAGCACATGTTTCAAGCTTTTTGTATTTTACATAACAAAAATTAGATAATAAACGTAAAAGAGTGAATACAGCCTCAACTAGGTATATAATATTATTTTTTGAATGAATTATAATAATAATAATTACAAGAACACAACCTCAACTAAGTATATAATATTAATTTTATTTAATATATTATTCATAAAATTGTTAACATCAGATCTGTCAAAATATTTTCAATGATGAAAGATGCTCTTGCTCTGTGGATATTTATATTCCATTGTGTATTGTCAAAAAGTGGATTATTCCTTCATTTATAAATCCATGCTATCCTATTTTCAGACAGTTTTTTAAGTTGATTTAGATGTAATTTCGTTTTTATTGCTTCTAGTCGGCCATTTGGCAATATGCCACAACATGAATTAATAGCTTGCTTTCCTCTGACCACTACTGTATCTTTTGACCTGTAGTTAACTTTAGTTTCAGTCAGTAGTATATATCTGAAAGTAAAATGTATGCTTAAGTAAAGAGGTCGTGCTCTAGCAAATATTTGGGCTCCTTGTGTGCGTCTGGAGTAGGATAAGAGTGGGATGGAGAAGCTAAGTTCATGCTTAGGTACAAGGTAACATTTCTTAATTTCCATGGTCATTTAAGGAATCTTTGGTACTGTAAATCTTTTCTGAAATTAATCCTAACAAAATATTGTATTCAAACCAATTCAGTTCCAAAACCCGTTTGTTGCTTCAAAGGCAGTGTGCTAAAATTTAAAAACTAGTATTAATGTGGATTGTTATGCATTTCTATAGTCGCGTATATGAGGGAAAATTTGGATCATTCCAAACTACTTTTAAAACCCCCCATTGATTTTCAAAATGTTTTAGGTTGATTTTGATAAGTCATTTTAAGGTTTAGATTGTGTATGTTTTGGGACTCAACCAAATAGTTTTTGTGTTTTCAGGGCCAAATATTAAGGTGAAGCGTTGACTCATCTGTTCTTAATTAAATTTTACAAAACATTGGAAAATATATCATTAACATATTTTATATGTACAGTAGTAGGATATATAGGATATATATTCGTGTTTGTGTGTGTTTCGAGTATAAAGCTTTAAGTTTGTGACTAACCAAGCTCCCATTACTCCAATTATTTGAAAAAGGCTGCCATTGTTGCATGATGTTTTTTTACTGTACTTTAAATTGATTTGCAGAAATTACAGAGTAAAAATGTGCATTAATCTGTTTCGCATGGATAAAATGGCATGGCATGTTAATACTTAAATGATAGCTATTTATTTATATGATATGCATACTGTAAGTGTATAACAGATGAGAATGTGAAATTTAATATCTGCCACATGTGTTTTCTTAAAGGTACTGTACATTCCTGCAGACACTTTTCAATATTTCCTTTCTCCTTAATTTCTTCCATCAGATGACTTATATGAAAATAAGGGAGGGGGAAGAGTAGATAAAGGTGAATTGCTTCACAGGATCTCAAGTGTTTCAGAATAGTATAAATTACAGGGGGTTATTCCCCTTCCCCCCCCCACCCCAGTTTCTCTCCTCCACAGCCTGACTTTGATTTTCATTATGTCTGACTCTATTGAAGACATTTCTTTACTATACACTTATAAGAAACCAGTGAAATTTTTCCCAAACGCATGACTCAAACTGTTGTTATTTTGTTCTTATTTTTAAATACTTTTTCAAGCATACAAAATTATGATTGTATACTGTACTGTTATGAGAGGGTATAACATATAGTCCCACCTTTTGCAAATAATACCTGATTCACACGTATAAAAATCTTACAACAAAATGTAACCAAAAGTAACATTTTACGGCACGTGTCAAAGTACCTCCGTGTAAGTAATATCCATGTAAAATCTCAGAAGGTCCCGGTAATCTTTACCAGCCTCGCTGAGGCTGGTAAAGCTTCCGAGATGTAGCATGGATGGATCTGCGCATGCGCAGGGATTTCTACACAACAACAATTTACTGTGTTTTGCGGGGTTCTTTGAATTTTCTTCCTTCTGCAGACGATTCCGATCCACTAGAAATAGATAGGCCTAGTTTTTCTCAATGATGGATGAATTACCCTAGTTATCGATGTTAATTAGTAATGATAGAAGAAGAAGATGAACGTCGGGATGGTGTTAGTACTATTATCAAGAGTTGACAGAAATGTCGGAAGCTAGGCCTAGTTTAGTAGTAGTAGGCCTAGTTTTTCTCAATGATGGATGAATTACCCTAGTTATCGATGTTAATTAGTAATGGTAGAAGAAGAAGATGAACGTCGGGATGGTGTTAGTACTATTATCAAGAGTTGACAGAAATGTCGGAAGCTAGGCCTAGTTTAGTAGTAGTAGTACAGCAGTTGTTAAGGGCATTGATTGCTTCGAATGTTTACTGTGATGGTGGTTTCAACAGTCCATCCAGGGGCGGATTTGGAGGGGGCCCAGCCCCGCCCCCCCCTTTTTTGGAGGTTAAAAAAAAGAAAAAAAAAAGAAAGAAAAAGAAAAAAATGATAGCCCACAACGCCTCAAATGTTATTATCGGACATGATAACATTTCGCGGGGGCATGCCCCCGGACCCCCTGGGACATTGTTGTCTCGTTCGGTCCCCCTTTCGGCCCCCTTTTGGACATCTCTGGATCCGCCCCTGCCATCTGTGACAGTGACATTGACGGGGTTCTCAACTAGGCATAGGCTAGGCCAATATTGCAGTAGGGGAAAAATGATTCATTGAATAAATTTCACACGACCTTAGCATTACCTTACAGATGCGTGTGAATGCTTTATATTTTGGTAGGAATAACTCGGGAGATGGCTCGGTTACAATTTGTTACTTTTTGTTATAAATTTATTACTTCACATGTGAATCGGGTAATAGATACAGAGAAGATTTGTTGTTTATCTATTTTTTTAAACTAAAAACCTCATTTGAAATTTTTTTATTTCTCTGTTTCAACTTGTTTTCATTTTGTTTGTAATTTTTAGGCAATTTCAGCCACAGTATTCTTATAAAAAAAAAGAAAAGTGGACAAATATAAGAGTACTTTGTTACATCAATATCATAATATTATAGTATGGTATAAAATTAATAAGAACAAATAAATGAACTCAAATTCCAGTTTATGTATTTTAATGATTTCAACTGGCAGTTACAAAACTGTGAATGAGAAGTTTGCAACACTTACAAAACACTAATATTATTATTAATCTTCCTCATCTGAAACAAAAGTAAGTAGGAAGTAGGCCCTACTGACTGTTGAAGCTAATATGCTTGAAAGAGTGTTTCAAATTTTCTTGTTTTTACTACAGTTTTACAACTGTTATGTTGAATGCCAACAGAATGAATCATTGTTTATCTGTAAATGTCATTGAAAGAATCCTGTCAGGAAGCATTGTAAATCTGTGCAAAACTCACAGGTCTAAACTTAAAGGCCAAACTAAAATACAAAAAATAAAAAATAACAAAAATAAATAAAGAAGGCTTTC